TTTAGTTTTTTGATAAACATCCATGTTGTTTTCTATAATGATAGTATGAATTTACGTTTCCACCAACAATGCACAAAAATTCCTCTTTCTCTGCATCATTGCCAGAATCCATTATTTTTTGTCTATTTGATAATAGCCATGTTAACTAGGTTAAAATGATATCTACTTGTGGTTTTTATTGGCATTTCTCTGATAATTAGTGAAGTTCAACATATTTTTAATGTTCTGTTGGCCATGTTTGCTTTTGAGAAATGTTTCCAGTTCATTTGCTCATTTTTTAAATTGATAACTTGTTTGTTTTTGCTGTGGAGTTCCTTACATATTCTGATCATTAATTTCTTGTTAGATAGATAGTTTACAAATATTTTCTCTCATTTTTTAGGTTGTCCCTTTACACTGTTGCTTGTTTCCATTTCTGTATAGAAGCTTTTTATCTTGATATAATCCCTTTGGCCTATTTTGGTTTTTGTTGCCTGTGCACTTGAGGTCTTACCCCTTGGAAAAAAATCTTCACCCAGAACAATGTCCTGAAGCTGTTCCCCAATATTTTTTCTAGTAATTTTGTAATATCTGGTCTTAGATTTCAATATTTTATTTTTATTTGATTTTTGTATATTATGAGAGATAGGGGTATAGTTTTACTCTTCTGCATATGGATATACAGTTTTCCCAGCATCACTTATAGAAGAGACTATTCTGTTCACAATACATATTCTTGGCACCATTGTAAAAAATGAGTTGGCTATAAATGTATGGATTTATTTCTGGGTTCTCTGTTTTATTCATCTGTGTGTCTGTTTTTATGCCAAAACAATTCTGTTTTGATTACTATAGCTTTGTAGTGTATTTTGATGTCAGGTGGTATCATGTCTACAACTTTGTGCTTTGCTCAGGATTGCTTTGGTAATTTGGGGTCTTTTGTGGTTCCTTACAAATTTTAGAATTTCACTTCTATTTAAGTGAAGGATATCATTGGCATTTTGATAATTATATCAATAAATCCATAGAGAGCTCTAAGTAGCAGGGACATTTTTAAAAATATCAGTTATTCCAATTCATGAACATGGGATATCTTTCCAATTTTCCCTTTCCTCTTTAATTTTCTTTCATTTTTTTAAACTAGTCCAAGTGGAATTGGCTTTTTTATTTTTTTAATGTTGTTCACTTGGCATATAGAAATGCTATTGAATATTGTATGTTTATTTTGTATTCTGCAACATTGCTTAATTCATTTATCAGTTTTAAGTTTTTCTGGAGTCTTTAGGGTTATTCTAAATATAAGTTTATGTTGTCTGCAAACAAGGCTAGTTTATTTCTTGCTTTCCAATTTTGCTGCTTATTTTTTTTCTTGCTCTTGTCTACTTGCTCTGGCTAGGACTTCCAATATGTTGAATAAAAGTGGTGAAACCAAAGGGCACCCTTGGTTTGTTCTAGATCTTAGAGAAAAGTGTTAGCTGGGGTTTTTCATATATGGCCTTTGTTGTGCTGAAGTATGTTTCTTCTTTACCCAGTTTGTTGAGAGATTTTTATCATGAAGGAATGTTGAACACTAGCAAATGCTTTTTCTGCATCTGTTAAAATGATACTGTTTTTGTCCTTTATTCTGCTGATGTGTTGTATCACATTTATTGATTTCCTCATGTTGACTGTTCTTGCATTACTGGGATAAATACCACTTGATCATGATGTATTATCTTTTTGATGTGTGGCTAGGTTTTGTTTGCTGTTATTTTTTTGAGAAGTTTTTGCATTTATGTTCATCAGTGTGATTGGTCTGTAGTTTTATTTCTTTGTTGTGTCCTTGTCTCGTTTTGGTATCAGTATGATGCTGGCCTCAGAGAATGACTTAGGCAGAAATTCCTCTTCAGTCTTTTGAAATCCTTTGAGAACAATTGGTATTCTTCTTTAAAAGTTTGGTGGAATTCAGGAGTAAAGCCATCTGGTTCTGGGCTTTTTATGTTGGAAGACTTTTTTATTATTGATTCCATGTAATTAGTCGATTTATCTGTTCAGGTTTTCTACTTTTTTGATACTATATTTTTATGAATTATTTATTTATTTATTTTATTATACTTTAAGTCCTGGGATACATGTGCAGATTGTGCAGGTTTGTTACATAAGTATACACGTGCCATGGTGGTTTGCTGCATCCATCCCCTGGTCATCTGCATTAGCTATTTCTTCTAATGTTATCCCTCCCTGCAATCCCCCAACCCCCTGCTATGCCTTCATTAGACCCCTCCACCCCATGGCAAGGACTTCCTGACTGAAACACCAAAAACAATGGCAACGTAAGCCAAAATAGACAAATGGGATCAATTAAACTTAAGAGCTTCTGCACAGCAAAAGAAACTATCATTAGAGTGAACCAGCAACCAACAGAATAGGAATAAATTTTTGCAATCTACCCATCTGATGAAAGGCTAATAACCAGAATCTATGAAGAACTTCAACAAATTTATAAGAAAAAAACAACTCCATCAAAAAGTAGGTGAAGGATATGAACAGACACTTTTCAAAGGAAGACATTTATGCACTCAACAAACATATGAAAAAAAGCTTATCATCGCTGGTCATTAGAGAAATGCAAATCAGGTTTTTTACTTCCTGGTTCAATCCTGATAGGTTATATGTGGCCGGTAATTTGATCATTTCCTCTAAGTTTTTCAATTTGTTGGTACAAAGTTGTTTATAATAGTCTCTAATGATGCTCTGTAATTCTGTGGTATCAATTCTATTGTTTCATTTTTTTAATTTTTATTTGTGTGATTTTTTTTGTAGCTGACGATTTGTTGACTTTATCTTTCCAAAGAACCAATTTTTTGTTCCCTTTTTAAAATATTTTAAAATTTCAAGTTCATCAAATTTGCTCTGATCTTTATTATTTCTTTCCCTGTACTAAGTTTGGATTTGGTTTGTTCTGAGTTTTAATCCTTCAAGTTATACCATTACATTGTTTATTTGAAATCTTTCTACTTTTTTGTTAGAGGCACTTATTGCTATATAATTCCCTGTTAATAATGCTTTTGCTGTGTCCCATGGATTTGGGTGTTGTGTTTTCATTTTAATTGATTCGAAAATTTTTCATTTCCTTCTTATTTCGTTGACTTATTAATAAGGGCATGTTATTTAATTTCCATGTTTCTACAGTTTTCAGTGTTCCTCTTATTGATATCGCATTTTATTTCATTTTAGTTTGAGAAGATAACTGATATGATTTTGACTTTTTAATATTTGTTTAGACTTATTTGTGGCCTAATATGTGATATTCCATGTGTCAAAGAGAAGAATGTGTATTCTGTACTTGATCTTAGCCGAAAGGCCAAGAAGTGATGAGAATGTATATTCAGTAGTTGTTGGAGGAAATGTTCTGTAAATGTCTGTTAGGTTCATTTGATATCCAGAGCAGTTTAAGTTTAATGTTTCTTTGTTGATTTTCTGTCTAGATGATATCCAGTGCTGACAATGAGATGTTGAGGTTTCCAACTATTGTTGTATGGGGGACTCTCCCTCTCCTTAGCACTAATAATAATTTCTGTTTATTACTGGGGTTCTCTAGGGTTAGCTTTGTATATGTTTATAATTGTTATATCCTCTCTCTGGATTGATCTCTATATCATTATATAATAATCTTTTTGTCTTCTTTTTTTAAATTGAAAGTTTATTTGTCTATTGTAAGTATAGCTATTTCTGAACTCTTAGTTTCCATTTGTGTGCATAATCTTTTTCGATTCATTTGCTCTATGTGTGTCTTTACAGGTAAAATGAATTTCTCATAGGCATCATTCAGTTGCTTCTTGTTTTTTTTTTTGGTATCAGTTCAGTCCATCTATATCTTTTAATTCAGGAATTTATACCACTTACATTCAAGATTGTTATTGATAGATAAGAACTTGTTCTTGTCATTTTGTCTTCTAATTGCTTTGTCTGTGTTATTTTCTTTCTATGTTATTTCTTAGTTTTGTAATGTGGTGGCTTTTTATATTCACAACATTTGATTTCTTTCTTCTTTTCATTTGTGTGTCCCCTCTTCCACTGTGTTTTTGATATGCTTTGGAAGTTTGTCCCTTCCTACCATGTTTACAGGTTTCTAGCAGGGACATGTGCTTCTGGAACTAGATTTCACTCACAAAACTTCAGTCCTAGTAGTTGATTTTAGTTCATCAATCCGAATCACTACTTTCTAACATAAATTACCCCTTAATAACTTTCAGGTATTTTTCCTATTATTGAACATGGTTAGTAGTTTCTAAATCCAACAAAAAAGTCAAATTATGTAAAAACTCAAATGGAAAAGTACCCAATTTTACTTCTCGTATTTCTGCAAATTTAATCATATCCTAAGCTACGAGGTCCACATGCTAAGAGGACCTAAAAGGGCATGTTTTCCTCAGTCCACAAGATACCTTATTATTTTCCATCACTGATGCTTACTTAGTTTATAATTAAATAACCTAAAAATTGCATTAAAATATTTCTGAATGAGTCAAAGAGTTTCTGTATTATAATAATTTCCTGTGATTATGAAGATCACCATTTTTAAGTTCCTAGGTGAAAAAAATGTTATGTTTCATCTTACCAGGTATATCAATGTGATTCAATGTAAACTTTAAAGTCATGTTATTATCATGACTTTAATTCTGTAGGATGTTTTAATTTTGCATTAGAGATAACATTGTATGGGAAATGCATTGTTAAAGTATTGTGAGGCATCAGTTTGTGTCACAACTTTGTTATTACCTGGATATGTGGTCTTGGTCAAATCACTAAACATCTCTATGACTCAGTATGCTAAGGCTTATATGATTGCTAACAGATCTTCCACTCCTAAGTTTGGTGATTTGGCAGTTCAGACATTTCACTGTAACTTTTATTCATTAATAACAAAGGCCAACTAATCTAATACACACACACACACACACACACACACACACCCCTACCTCACATTCCTATGTAAGGATTACCTTGCAAAGTATTTTTAAATCTATTTATTTCTATAGAGACTGATATAGAAAGCTTGAAGGGTGCTTTGGGAAGACGCTTATTAAAGGATGAATTCAAGACACAGTTAAAGAGTTTTCCTGGTAAGAAAAATATTTTCAAGTCTAATATTTCTCATTTATTTTTGTCCTTTAAGTGTGTATCTTGAATAGCAAGTGCACCCATTTGTTAATATGATATGGGCACAGGTTCTCATGAATACCCTCCCATATTTGGTTGTACTCTAGAACATATTTACTACAAATGTAAAGCTAACTAGATATTATTACTTTTAGGACTCATCCACTTAGAAAGTCATCCAAAATAATATACTATAGTGAGCTTAGAATATATTGGGACAAGTATGTCCAAAGGTCTTCTAGTCCCTTTCCATTTACAGTTTAAATAGAAAGTTACTTTAAATTTGCAAAAGCAGAAAGGCTTTCTGATGAGTGCAGTAAGTAAAGGAAAAGGACAGTTATTTTATTATTACCAATTCCGTCTATACTTTAAAATATCAGGCATAGTGATAATCTTTCAGCTACGGCAGAATCCTTTAGTTGTGTAATATAGTTCAGAGATTATACTACTGCCTTTAGTACAGAAGTAGCAGTGTTAGGCAAAACACCCTTTGATCTCTGGTGTGATACAAAGGAAGGCAGGCAAGTTAACAGAGAAATAAGGAAAAGACATATTCAAAGGGAGACTCTCTAAAACCACTGTCATCCAAAGGTGATTGCTGCATGCCCAATGCTGTTTTATTGGCGGAATAACATTAGAGGCTTCACATTGCAGGATGTATTGAACCATTCTTGCATTGCTATAAAGGAATACCTGAGACTGGGTAATGTATAAAGAAAAGAAGCTGTACAGCTCAGGGAAGACCGCGTTCCAGCGGCCTGCGGGGCAGCTCTGCGGCCTGGGCCCAAAGCGCGGAGCATCCCCCAGTGAGCAGCCGTGGCCGACGCTTGCGAGGCCGGGGGCGTAGGCAGGGAGGGGCAAGTGCGGCTGAGCCGGGGCAAGCGCGGTGGAGGCGGGGCCCGGGCCGGACCCGCCCATCCGCCTGGGGAGCCTCCGGCAGTGGCCTAGGAGGCAGCAGGTGGCCGGCAGCTGGAGAGTAGCGCTGGCGCTGTGTCCCGCGGGACAGCACTGCGACCGCCTGGGCCACCCGGAGGAGTGCTTGCTGTCCACTTCCGTGTACCAAGCGAGGGTTTGAACGTGATTTCTGATGAAACCAAATTGGAATAATTTTCATGATCTGTGTGTGTGTGTGTGTGTGTGTGTGTGTGTGTATACAGTTTTTTTTTTTTTTTTTGCATTTGACTTTAAGTGTCATGAGAAAATTTGCATACCGCAAGGTGGTCCTAGCCACCTCCTTGATTTGGGTACTCTTGGACATGTTCCTGCTGCTTTACTTCAATGAATGCAGCAAATGTGATGAAAAAAAGGAGAGAGGACTCCCTGCTAGTGATGTTCTAGAGCCAGTACAAAAGCCTCATGAAGGTTCTGGAGAAATGGGGAAACCAGTCGTCATTCCTAAAGAGGATCAAGAAATGTTGAAAGAGATGTTTAAAATCAATCAGTTCAATCTAATCGCAAGTGAAATGATTGCACTCAACAGATCTTTATCAGATGTTAGGTTAGAAGGGTGTAAAACAAAGGTATATCCAGGTAATCTTCCTGCAAGTGTGGTGATTGTTTCCACAATAAGGCTTGGAGCACACTTCTGCCAACTGTCCATAGTGTCATTAATTACTTACCAAGACACCTGATAGAAGAAATTGTTCTAGTAGATGATGGCAGTGAAAGAGACTTTTTGAAAAGGATTTTAGAGAGTTATGTGAAAAAACTAAAAGTACCAGTTCATGTAATTCGAATGGAACAACGTTCTGGATTGATCAGAGCTAGATTAAAAGGAGCTGCTGTGTCTAAAGTCCAAGTGATCACCTTCCTGGATGCTCATTGTGAGTGTACCGTGGGGTGGCTGGAGCCTTTCTTGGCCAGGATCAAACATGACAGGATAACAGTGGTGTGTCCTATCATCGATGTGATCAGTGATGATACTTTTGAGTATGGCACGCTCTGATATGACTTACGGTGTGTTCAGCTAGAAGCTCAATTTTCACTGGTATCCTGTTCCCCAAAGAGAAATGGGCAGAAGGAAAGGTGATCAGACTCTTCTTCTTAAAACACCTACCATGGCAGGAGGCCTTTTTTCCGTAGACAGAGATTACTTTCAGGAAATTGGAACATATGATTCTGTAATGGATATCTGGGGAGGAGAAAACCTAGAAATTTCCTTTCTGATTTGGCAGTGTGGAGGAACTTTGGAAATTGTTACATGCTCACATGTTGGACATGTGTTTTGAAAAGCTACACCTTACACATTTCCAGGAGGCACAGGGCAGATTATCAATAAAAATAACAAATAATTTGCAGAAGTGTGGATGGATGAATTCAGGAATTTCTTCTATATAATTTCTCCAGATATTACAAAGGTAGATTATGGAGATACATCATCAAGAGCTGGTCTAAGACACAAACTACAATGCAAGCCTTTTTTTTTTTTTTTTTTTTTGGTACTTAGAGAATATTTATCCTGATTCTCAAATTCCATGTCACTATTTCTCAATGGGAGAGATGAGAAGTGTGGAAATAAATCAGTGTCTAGATAACATAGCTAGAAAAGAGAATGAAAAAGTGGGCATTTTTAATTGCCATGGTATGGGGGTAATCAGGTTTTCACTTAGACTGCCAACAAAGAAATCAGAACAGACAACTTTTGCTTGGATGTTTCCAAATTTAATGGCCCAGTTACAATGCTCAAATGCCACCACATAAAAGGCAACCAACTGTGGGAGTATGATCCAGGGAAATTAATCCTAAAGCTTGTGAACAGTAATCAGTGGCTACATAAAGCCATAGAAGAGAATAGGCAGGTGCCCAGCATTAGAGACTGCAGTGGAAGTTGGTCCCAGCAGTGGCTTCTTTGAAATATCACCCTGCAAGAAATATTCTGAGACCAAATTTTTTTAAAAATGAAAAAAATGAGGATTGACTAGGGTACCTCAGCATACATTTCTGCCACATTCTTAAGTAGCAAAAAAGGAAAAGTGCTTTCCTCCTCTGCAGGATGTAATGTTTATCAGCTACTAAAACTTAGACTTCTCTAGCTTTTCACTAGCAATGAACAAACCTTCCTGTCCATGGACGTGAACCTGCATAGTAATCAGACTGTGCACACTGATATTTACAAGATTGAAAGAATCTTTCTCCAAAAATCATGGCAAAGAATATTGAGACAATAAAAAAATCAACAAAATATGCTTTCTGGAGAACTATACCTTTTATGGTTTGCTTGCACATCAGTAATTTCTGCTGCACATGCTGTCATAATGAAGAGATGTCCAAGATTTTTTCCTCATTAGAACTGGTAGCCAGTATATTAAATATTGATATAAAAATAAAAGAACTGGAACCCGATACAGAATCATGAAAACAACATTTTTTACAACAGCAAACTACATTAAACAGGGTTTAAAGGAAATTAGAACTATGAGAAGTACAATTTGTTAGTGTATCAAATTTCTATATAGATTTTATACTTCAGTGGGGAAAAATAACTGATTCCAATGACATTCATTATGTTTTTATCTGTGATAGTCATGGATGCTTTTATTTTTCTTGGGATGCTGAAATTGAGCTAAAAAAAAAAAAGGCTGTTTGAATGTAGTTTTAATTTCTCTCTACAGTTTTTTTCTTTGGTTTGTGGGCTGTTGGAATTGTAATTTTTAATTGCCTTCTAAAAAAATGGGAATTTAACATAATGTCTGGCCTCAACTGAACAAATTAAATGTTTCAGTTGCTCTTGGGTTAACTGGCTTATAGATTTACGTGTGCATACACACACACACAAATTTCTTATCACATTTTAAACTTCTTAACTTGACCCACCTGATTATGCTTAATACCCAAGATCCACACTACTTTACCACAGATTTGTTTTCACAGCAATAAATCTTCACTTCTTTGTTTATGATTCCACTTAAAAAAAAAAAAAAGGCTGTACAAGCATAGTGCCAGCATCTACTTGTCTTCTGCAGAGGCTTCAGGGTGCTCTTACTCATGGCAGAAAGTAAAGCAGAACAGGCATGTTACATGTCAAGAGCAGGAGCACAAGCAAAAAGGGGGAAGGTGCCACACACTTTTGAACAACTGGATCTCAGAAGAACCCATATACTATTGTGAGAAAAGCACCAAGCCATGGAGAGGGATCTGCCCTTGTGACACAAACACCTCCCACCAGATCCTACCTCCAACATTGGGGATTGCATTTCAACATGAGATTTAGACAGGAAAAACATACAAACCACATCACAGGGGAAAGAAACTTCAGTAAATAATCAAGACAAATCACAGGTCAAATAAATAAGCAAACAATAATAACATGCTTCAGGAAGAAGAGGAGAAAATCAAAATCAAGAGTTGCTACATTATATGTCTAAATTGTTCAGTTTTTAGCATAAGATTTTGAGTTATTCTAGTAAAGAAGAAAGTATGACCCATATAAGAAAATTAGGCAACAAAAACAGCTTATGAGAATCCTAGCTGTTGGACTTAGCAGACATTGACTACAAGGCAGTTATTATAAATATATTGAAATAAATAAAGGAAATCATTCTTTAAAAAGAAAAGAAAGGTATTATGACAATGTTTTATCAAATAGAAAATATAAAGAGATATAAAATATTTTACAAAGGACTACATGGAAATTGTTGTGTTAAAAAGTACAAAAACTGGAAGTAAACATTTACTGGAGAGGCTCAAGTACATTTGAACTGTCTGAAGAAAGAATAAAAAACTTAAAGTATCACAAACACTAGAAAGAAAGCAGAGAGAAGGAAGATGTGGATGAAAACTTTTCAAAAAAATATTTAATGATAAATGAGTCTACAAATCCAATCTCAATTACTTCTAAGTAGAATAAACACAAGGAAATCTATAACCACACTCATAGTAACAATGTTGAAAGACAAAGAGAAAGCAGCAAGAGAAAACCAATGTGTGATATAAAAGGGAACCCCACTAAAATTAAAAGCTGACTTATTAGGAACTATTAAGGTATTGGAACAGTACATTCAAAGTGCTAAATAAAGAACTGTTAACCAAAAATCTTATATCCAGCAAAACTATATATTAAACATGAAGGTGAAATAAAGATATTTCTAAGTAGACTTTTTTAAACGAGAAAATTTATTCCTATCAGAACTGCTTTCCAAGAAATACAGAGCTCTTCAGGTTGAAAACCATTGACCTCTGACACTAATTTGAACCCATAAAATGAACATAGGTTAAAGGAATTCCATAACTCTGAAAGATTATATAAATGCATATTTCATCTTCTTTCTACTCTTAATTGATATAAAAAGCAATTAGATAAAAATATTTACAGAATTTTATTGCTGAGACTTTAAAATATACACATGTAATATATTCCAGAATAGTAGCACACGGGCAGTAGTTGAGAGAAATGATATATTAAAGTTAAAAAGAACATCTGGCACTCTTTTCAACACACACACACACACACACAAACACACGTACAATATTTGGGAATTGATAATCAGATTTCAAATAGATCATCTAATCAGGAACACTAAAATTCACCAGATAATTAACAGGAAACACCTGAGGCATAGAAGGAATGGAAAAGGGGGCAGCTGACCTAACTAGGATTGATGTAGTCCAGAGAGGCTCCCCGGTTTGGGAAAAGGGTGAGAGGTCCATAGAAGTCCACATTCCCACCACAGATTCCTGCAATCCTATCCATGGGAGAACCAACCTTACACATCCTGGCCAGTGGCATTGCTCTAGAGAGGGACCTCATGCTGAGTCACACACACCCTGACAACCCAGCAGATGTGACATAGTGCCTTTTTTTTTTTTTTTTTTTGAGACAGAGTCTCACTCTTTCACCCAGGCTGGAGTGCAGTGGCATGATCTTGGCTCACTGCAACCTCTGCCTCCTGGGTTCAAGCAATTCTACTGACTTAGCCTCCCAAGTAGCTGGGATTACAGGCACATACCACCACGCCCAGCTAAATTTTGTATTTCCACTCTTAGAGCCCTACTGACATCCCCCTGCATCTATGCAGTGTGCTGCAGAAGTGCAATCCGAGTTGGGCCTAGCAGTGTGACAGGATCCGTAGCACTGAAGTGTTCAACATGCTGGGGAATGGGTGGTACAGCACACTGAAGTGGTTGCCCTGGGATAAATGGAGCTGAAGTATGCAGTGCCCAAAACCCGGAATACGTAAGTCCAATGCCATTGCTGCAATCCTGCCCCCATAATTAGGAGGACTACCATGCACTTGCATATGCCCTAAGGACAAGCTCTCATCTGTCATCATCACCAGAGGCTGAAGCATGTGCTCACCAGAGCCTGAGAACCACTTTCCTGGGACCTCTACCACTGAGACCAACTCAATCCTATCCAGTGGCAGGACCACCACACAATTGCATGCACCCTGAGGACAAACTCTCCCTACCAACTGCCATTGCTGTTAATGCCACCCAGGCACACCACTTGGGGTCCTGGGGATATCCTCACCCTGCCTGCCACAGCATGCACCCATGCATACCATTGGGGGATATGAGAACCAGCCCTCTCAGCCTGCAACCATGTCTCAGTGCCCAAAAATGCCACCTAAGGGGTCTGGGGATTACCTTGCCCTATCAGTTGCCCTGGGTATGTATGGACACCAGAGAACTTCACAACTGACCCAGAAACCTGCCACCAGCACCAAAGCATGCCACCCAAAGGCCAGGGGCTCATCCTGCCCCATCCACCATGACGGGCATCTGTGCACTCTTCTTTGGTCCTGGAGGATGAACTCACTAGCCAGTTGCAGCCACTACTAACACCAGCGCATGCCACTTGGGAGCCTGTGGGTTGTTTCACCACTGTGACTTTTATTGTCTACATCACGTACACTGTCTAGGGGCTAAAGGACCCACCTACCTGCACTAGGTAGCCAGCACTCAAGCAGCCACCTAAAGGCCCAAGAATTAGCCTGCCTGGACTCACAAATCCTGATGCTCATGTATCCTGATGCTCAAGGATAGGCATGATCAGCCATTGCTATCACCAATGAGGCCAAGGACTGACTCACTTGGGGTCCCTGTCCCCAGCAAAGCCTCACAACAGCATCCACTAGCAACTGTAGCCTAAGCCATTGAGGAAATGGCAGTCATCACTGACACTGTTTATAGCTGAAAAAAATTATACAGAGGCTATATACCACTGCGTATACCCAGATTGAAAGGTAAAGTGCCCAACCCAAGGGAGGCATGGTGACTCATGCCTATACCCCAGCACTTTGGGAGGTGAAGGTGGCAGGATCACTTGAGGCCAGACATTTGAGGCCAGCCTTGGTTCAAGACCAGTGAGATACTGGTCTTTTTTTTTTTTTTTTTTTTTAATTTAAAAACTGCCCTATCCAAACAACAGCATAGATAGCATCTTCAGGAAAAAGTTTTGCTCTGTGAAAGCCAATCCACAAAATTGAGAGAAGTGACTATTAAATGAGATGACAGACATAAGTCTCAAGAAACATGAAAAAGCAAGGAAATGTGACACCTCAAAAACAATAATTCTTCAGCAACAGATTTTAGTGAAAAAGAAATTAATAAAATACCTGAAGCAGAATTGAAAATAATGATATTAAAGAAGCTCAATGAGGTAGAAGAGAACACAGATAAACAATACAAAGAAATCAGCAAAACAATTTTGAAATGAATGAGAAATTTATTAAAGAGATAGATATCATTAAGAAAAGAGTTAAACAGAAATCCTGTAATTCAATGAATAAAATAAAAAATACATTCAAGATCTTCAACAATTACTAGGTCAAGCAGAAGAAGAAAAATTCAGAACTTCAAGAGAAGTCATTTGAAATAACACAGACAAAAGAGAGGGGGAGATAGAGAAAAAAAAGAATAAAGAATGAAAAAGAATGAATAATGCCTATGTGACATGGAACATCATAAAGTGACCAACGTTTCGAATTGTGGGTGTTCCGGATGGTCAAGAGAAAAGGTATATAAAAACTATTTAATAAAATAACAGCTGAAAACTGCCCATATCAGCAAGAGATTTCCAAATAGACACAACCCAAAAGATTTGTACAAGGTACATTATAGTCAAACTGTCAAAAGTAAAAGAAAGAGATACAAGTCACATATAAGGGAACTGTTATCAGACTAACAGTGTATTTCTTAGCAGAAATCGTACAGGCTAGGAGAAAATAAGATGATATATTCAAAGGGCTGAAAGAAAACAGGCAAGAATAATATGTTCAGCAAAGTTATTGTTCATAAATGAAGGAAAAATAAAGTATTTTCTAGACAAACAAAAACTGAAGGAATTCATCACCATTAGGCTGGCCCTACAAGAAATGCTTAAAGGAGTACTACACTTAAGCAAAAGGATATCTACCTTCATAAAACTGGTTGTGCAAACACACAAATGAGGAAGAAAAAGAACTCAAATGTTACTATGACAGAAAAATCACCAAACTGCAATGACAAACAACACAATTGAAAAAAGGAACAAAGGATAAACAAAACAACCAGAATATAAGAAAACCATAGGAATAAGTCCTCACATAATGATCTTGAATGTAAACAGAATGCCTGAATGGATTTTAAAAACATGACCAAACTATATACTGCCTATAAGAAAGTCACTTCACCTGTAAGGCAACAGATAGACTGGTAGGAAGGGAATGGAAAAAATATTCCATGCAAATAGAAACCAGAAGTGAGGAGGAGTAGGTGTACTTATTTCAGATAAAATAGACTTTAAGTCAAAAACAATAAAAAGAGACAGGATAATTAGATAATTATAAAAGAATTCAGAAAGAGGATATACGAATTTTAAACTTATACTCACCCAACATTGATACATCCAGATATATAAAGCAAATATTACATCTAATGTGAGAGAGAGACTCCAGTAAAATAATAGCTAGAGACTTCAACATCTCATTTTCAGCATTAGGCAGATCATCTAGACAGAAAATCAACAAAGAAACATTGAGCTTAAACATCAATTTAGACCAAATGACCCTAACAGATAATTACAAGTATTTTATTCAATAGCTGCAGGACACACTTACTTCTTCTCATCAGCACATGGAACATTCTCCAGGTTAGATCATGTGTTAGGCCACAAAAGAAGTCTTAAAAATTTTTAAAAATCAAAATCATATCAAGTATCTTGTCAGACCATGACAGATTAAAACTAGAAATCATTAACTAGAGGAACTTTGGGAACTGTATGAACACATGGAAATTAAGCTAAATGCTCATGAATGACCATTGACTCAATGAAGAAATTAAAAAATAAATTTAAAAATTCTTGAAATAAATAAAAATGAAAACACAACATACCAAAACCTATGATATATAACAAAAACAATGCTAAAAATGGAATTTTATAGCAATAAATACCTCCATCAAAAAGTAGAAAGATTTCAAGTAAATTAACAATGCACCTCAAGAGACTAAAAAACCAAAAACAAACCAACCACAACAAAAATTGATAGAAGGAAATAAATAAGAATCAGAGCAGAACTAAGTGAAATAGATACTTAAACAAAGGACCAACCAAATCAAAACTTGGTGTTTTAAAAGACAAAATTAATAAAACATTAGGTAGACTAACTTATGAAAAGATAGAAGATACAAATTAACAAAATCAGAAATGAAAAAGAAGATAGAACTGATGCTGTAGAATTACAAAACATCATCAGAAAATATTATGAACAACTATATGCTGATAAACTGGAAAATCTAGAGGAAATTGATAGATTTCTGGACACATATAGCCTACCAAGATTGAATTAAGAAGAACTAGAAAACCTGGTTACTGGGTACCACAAACATACTGTTAGATACAAAGAATAAGTTCCAAAGTTCAGTAGCAGAGGAGATTTATTATAGTTGACAACAATGTATTTTATATTTCAAAATAGCTAAAAAGAGGCCTAGAAATGTTCTCAACACATAACCAGATGGCCTCACTGCCAATTTTTCCCCAAACTTTCGAAGAACTACCACCAATTCCCCTCAAACTATTCCAAAAAATTGAAGAGGATGGAATTTTCTGTAACTCAATCTACAAGGCCAGCATTTATTCTGATACCAAAATCAGACAAGGACATAAAAAATAAATAAAATTACAGGCAAATATCTCTGATGAATATAAACCTAAAAATCCCCAACAAAATGCCAGCAAACCAAATTCAACAACATATCAAAAAGATAATACACTGTGATCAAGTCAGATCTATCCCAGGGATGTAAGGGTGGTTTAACATATGCAAATCAATTAGCAAGGTACATCAACAGAAAGAAGGACAAAATCATACAATCATCTGAGTAGGTGCAGAAGAAGCATTTGATAAAATTTAACATTCCTTCATGATAAAACTCTCAACAACCTAGGCATAAATGGAACATCCCTCAAACTAATAAAGTCCATATATGACAAACCCACAGCTAACATCGTACTGAATAAAGATAAATCATTGAGGTGTGGCTGGGCAAGATGGAGCACACCTGTCATCCCAGGCAGGTGGATCACTAGGTCAAGAGATTGAGACCAGCCTGACCAACATGGTGAAGCCCTGTCTCTACTAAAAATACAAAAATAAGCCAGGCATGGTGGTGGGCACCTGTAATCCCAGCTACTTGGGAGGCTGAGGCAGGAGAATCACTTGAACCTGGAAGGCAGAGGTTGCAGTGAGCCGAGATTGTGCCACTGCACTTCAGCCTGGTGACAGAATGAGTCTTCATCTCAAAGAAAAAAAAATTGTTGAGGTGATAGATATCCTAAATAACCTGACTTGTTATGCACACTGTACATATAACCAAATATCATGTGTACCCCATAAATATGCACAAACGCTATCTATTAACAAAAAAGAAAACAACAAGATGTGGTAACCTGAAACCACAGGAAAAAATTAATAGAACCAGAAATTATAAATAAGAAGGTTAATATAATAGCTAATTGGAAATATGTACTTCTTGTCTCAGATTTTTTAAAAAGCATAAAATTATATACAGAAATGATTATAGCCAGGCACAGTGGCTCATGCCTGTAATCCCAGCATTTTGGGAGACAGAGGTAAGCAGATCACAGGTTCAGGAGTTCAAGACCAGCCTGGCCAACATGGGGAAACTCCATCTCTACTAAAGATACAAAAAAATTAGCCAGGCATGGTGGTACACACCTGTAATCCCAGCTGCTTGGAAGCCTGAGGCAGGAGAATCACTTGAACCTGGGAGGCGTAGGTTGTAGTGAGCCAAGACCGCACCACTGCACTCTAGCCTGGGTGACAGGGCCACAGGGCACTACTCAGTCTCAAAAAAAAAAAAAAAAAAAGGAAAGAAAGAATTATAATAATAACTACAACCCTGTCTTTATTATTTACAAATGCATTATGGATAACAATAGCACAAAAATGGGAACCGGGAATACAGCTATATAAGAGTAACTTTTCTATATTTCACTGGAATTTAATTAGTATAAATCTAAAGTACTTTTTAAAATTGACTGTGATGGTGGTGACAGACATTACTGAATGTATTAAAATCCATAGAATTTAAGATTTTAAATAGCCTATTAAAATATTCAGTGAACTTCAAGGAGAAAAAGATTTTTAAAAGATTTAAAGCAAAGGGAGGATATTGTGAAGGACAAAAATTGTGACTCTTAGTAATTGTAAGTGTTTCCAGCACATACATTTTAATTTCTAGTATTTAACCCAATCCCTCAAATTATCTCATTTTTTCCCTGAATGTGTAAGGATCATTTGCTTGTTCATTTCAAATGAAGTGGCCCTTCTTAGATATATCAGCTGAAGAAAGAACAAAGGAAGCTAAAAAATCTGCTCATGTTTCCAGTTTTGAGTTGCTATATCTCTTATATTGTTACTTAATTACTGAAAACTTGTTCTGCTCAATCTCATAGATAACTTTTTACTTTCGTAATGAGGCAATGCTCAGTATAGAATGCAGTTGTGGCATATTTGAGCAGCTGGTGTCATAACTGTTTGCATTATTCATGTATTCATCGATTTTTCCAAAACAGCAATGACAACAAATCACTCTACAATACAGTGACAGGACTGACAGGTATCCAATCATAGTTATATACTCTACTAGAGCCAATTCTACCCATAGAATCTTAAGCCCAATGTTGACCTTATGTCACCAATCCTCATTATCCCCTTTTCAATATGAATTTCTTTTTAACATTTTTATGCATTTTTATATCATTGAACTTAGTAGTTTCTAATTCCACAAAAATATCAAATCACATAAAACTTAAATGGAAATGGATCCAATAACAATTCTGGTAGTGCTGCAAATCTGACCATTACCTCCTTGATTCACATTCAAGTGATCAAAGGCAGTTTTTCAGTTTGACAAATATCTTATTTTTTCATAACTAATATCTAAAGAATTTATAGTTACATACACTAAAAAAAAGGAAAGAAATATTCCTCGATGAGTCAAATAATTTCTGCCTCTTGATAAGGCTCTGTGACTAACAAGGCCATGGTTTGCCTATAGGGAAAAAAAATGTTCCATCTCACCTACTGCATACCTTCAGGCTGTATAGGTTTTTAGTGTAAACTTGAAAGATACATTATCATCATAATGTCCCTTAGGATGATTTGAATTTGCCTAAGAGACAGCAGTGTATAGAACAATTCCTCGTTAAGAAATTATTCAGCATCGGGTTATGGATCAGTTTTACCTTTTCCTGGATATGTGATCTTTCAATTCATTAAACATATCTAAGCCTGAATATAGTCTGGCTTATATAATTTTAGCAGCCTTTCCTTTTTAAGATTTTTGTTATTTTCCAATCCAGACATTTCACTTTAATTTTTCTTCTATAAATACAATTTTTCTTTTTTGGGGACAGAGTCTTGCTCTATCACCAGGCTGTAGTTCAGTGGTGTGATCTCAGCTCACTGCAACCTCTGCCTCCTGGGTTCAAGTGATTCTCCTGCCTCAGCCTCATGAGTAGCTGGGGCTACAGGCACGTGCCACCACACCCAGCTAATTTTTTTTTTTTTTTTTTTTTTTTTTTAGTAGAGACAGAGTTTCACCATGTTGGCCAGAATGGTCTCAATCTCTTCACCTCGTGATCTGCCCGCCCCAGCCTCCCAAAGTACTGGGATTACAGGCATAAGCCACCATGGCCAGCCACAAATGTTTTAAGTTACTAACACACACACTCTGACATTTGTAGATAAATGATTATCTTATAGTGTTTTGATATCTGTTTATTTCTATAGGGCCTAATATAGAACAATTGACAGATGCATTTGGAAGAAATATACTAAAGGATGAATTCAGACCAATATCAAAGAGTCTCCCTGGTAAGAACAAAAACTACAAATTTATTATTTCTGGTTAGTTTATGTTCTCTGGAGTGTAATTACATGTGGATCTTTAAGGAGAACCATGCCTATAAATTATTACATAGGCAAAAGTCTTCATGAATTACTCTCTATAATATTTCAACTCCAGTTTCAACGAGTAATGTAAAATTAGCTTTTCTTTTTTTTTAAATTATACTTTAAGTTCTGGGGGACATGTGCAAAATGTGCAGGTTTGTTACATAGGTATACGCGTGCCATAGTGGTTTGCTGCATCCATCAGCCCGTCATCTACATTAGCTATTTCTCCTAATGCTATCCCTCCCCTGAACCCCCATCCCCCAAGAGGCCCTTGTGTATGATGTTCTCCTCCCCGTGTTCATGTGTTCTCATTGTTCAGCTCCCACTTATGAGTGAGAACTTGTGATGTTTGGTTGTCTAGTCTTGTGTTAGTTTGCTGAGAATGATTTCCAGCTTTATCCATGACCCTGCAAAGGACAGGAACTCATCTTTTTTTATGGCTGCATGGTATTCAGTGGTGTCTATGTGCCACATTTTCTTTATCCAGTCTATCATTGATGGACATTTGGGTTGGTTCCAAGTCTTTGCTATTGTAAACAGTACCACAATGAACATACGTGTGCACATGTCTTTATAATAGAATGATTTATACTTTTTTGGGTATATACGCAGTAATGGGATTGCTGGATCAAATGGAATTTCTATTTCTAGATCCTTGAGGAGTTGCCACACTGTCTTCCACTATGGTTGAACTAATTTACACTCCCACCAACAGTGTAAATGCATTCCTATTTCTCTACGTCCTCTCCAGCATCTGTTGTTTCTTATCTTTTTAATGTTTGCCATTCTAACTGGTGTGAGATGGTATCTCACTGTGGTTTTCATTTGCATTTCTCTAATGGCCAGGGATGATAAGCTTTTTTCCATGTTTGTTGGATGTATAAATGTCTTCTTTTGAAAAGTGTCTGTTCTTTGGCCACTTTTTGATGGGGTTGTTTTTCTCTTGTAAATTTGTTTAAGTTCATTGTAGATTCTGGTTATTAGTACTTTATCAGATGGGTAGATTGCAAAATTATTTTCCCATTCTGTTGGTTTCTGGTTCACTCTAATGATAGTTTCTTTTGCTGTACAGAAGCTCTTTAGATCCCATTTGTCTATTTTGGCTTTTGATGCCGTTGCTTTTGGTGTTTTAGTCAGGAGGTCTTTGCCCATGCCTATGTCCTGAATCATATAGCGTAGGTTTTCTTCTAAAGTTTTTATGGTTTTAGGTCTTATATATATGTCTTTCATCCATCTTGCATGAATTTTTGTATAAGGTGCAAGGAAGGAGTCCAGTTTCAGTTTTCCGTATATGGCTAGCTAGTTTTTCCAATACAATTTATTAAATAGGGAATCCTTTCGCCATTGCTTGTTTTTGTCAGGTTTGCCAAAGGTCACATGGTTGTAGATGTGTGGTGTTATTTCTGAAGCCTCTGTTCTGTTCCAATGTTCTATATATCTGTTTTGGAACCAGTACCATGCTGTTTTGATTACTGTAGACTTGTAGTATAGTTTGAAGTCAGGAAGCGTAATGCCTACAGCTTTGTTCTTTTTGCTTTGGATTGTTTTGGCTATGTGGGCTCTTTATTGGTTCCTCATTAAATTTAAAGTAGTTTTTTCCAATTCTGTGAAGAAAGTCAATGGTAGCTTGATGGGGATAGCATTGAATCTATAAATTACTTTGGGTAGTATGGCCATTTTCACAATATTGATTCTTTCTAACCACGAGTATGGAGTGTTTTTCCATTTGTTTGTGTCCTTTTTTATTTCCTTGAGCAGTGGTTTGTAGTTCTCCTTGAAGAAGTCCTTCACGTCCCCTGTAAGTTATATTCCTAGGTATTTATTTCTCTTTGTAGCAATTGTGAGTGGTTTGGTTTTCTCATGATTTGGCTCTCAATTTTTCTGTTATTGGTGTATAGGAATGCTTGTGATTTTTGCACATTGATTTTGTATCCTGAGACTTTGCTGAAGTTGCTTATCAGCTTAAGGAGATTTGGGGCTGAAATGATGGGGCTCTAAACATACAATCGTGTCATCTAAAACACAGATAATTTGATTTCCTTTTTTCTAATGGAATATCCTTTATTTCTTTATCTTGCCTGATTGCCTGACTAGAACTTCCAATACTGTGTTGAATAGAAGAGGTGAGAGAGGGCATCCTTATCCTACGCCAGTTTTCAAAGGGAAAGTGTCCAGCTTTTGCCCATTAAGTATGATATTGGCTGTGGGTTTGTCATTAATAACTCATTATTTTGAGATACGTTCTATCAATACCTAGTTTATTGAGAGTTTTTAGCACGAAGATGTGTTGAATTTTGTCAAAGACCTTCTCTGCATCTATTGAGATAATCATTTGGTGTTTACCTTTGGTTCTGTTTATGTGATGGATTACATTTATTGATTTGCATATGTTGAATCAGACTTGCATCCCAGGGATGATGCTGACTTGATTGTGGTGGATAAGCTTTTTGATGTGTTGTTGGATTCTGTTTGCCAGTATTTTATTGAGGATTTCTGCATCAATGTTCATCAGGATTACTGGCCTAAAATTTTCTTTTTTTGTTCTGTCCCTGCTAGGTTTTGTATCAGGATGATGTTGGCCTCATGAAATGAGTTAGGAAGGATTACTTTTTCTTCTATTGTTTGGAATAGTTTCAGATAGAATGATTCCAGCTCCTCTTTGTATCATTGGTAGAATTTGGCTGTGAACCCATCTGGTCCTGGATTTTTTTGGTTGGTAGGCTATTAATACCTGCCTCAACTTCAGAACTTGTTATTGGTCTCTTCAGGGATTCTACTTCCTGGTTTAGTCTTGGGAGGGTGTAGGTTTCCAGGAATTTATCCATTTCTTCTAGATTTTCTGGTTTATTTGTGTAGAGGTGTTTATAGTATTCTCTGATGGTAGTTTCTATTTCTGTGGGATCAGTGGTGATATCCCCTTTATTGTTTTTGTTGCATCTATTTGATTCTTCTCTCTTTTCTTCTTTATTAGTCTGACTAGCAGTCTATCTATTTTCTTGATCAGTTCAAAAAACCAGCTCCTGGATTCATTGATTTTTTGAAGGGTTTTTTGTGTCTCGATCTCCTTCAGTTCTGCTTTGATCTTAGTTATTTCTTGTCTGCTGCTAGCTTTTGAGTTTGTTTGCTCTTGCTTCTCTAGTTTTTTTAATTGTAACATGAGGATATAGTTTTTAGGTCTTTTCCACTTTCTCTTGTGAGCATTTAGTGGTATAAATTTCGTCTACACACTGCTTTAAATGTGTCCCAGATATTCTGATACATTGTGTCTTTGTTCTCATAGATTTCAAAAACCATCTTTATTTCTGCCTTAATTTTGTTATTTATCCAGTAGTCATTCAGCAGCAGGTTGTTTAGTTTCCATGTAGTTGTGCAGTTTTGAGTGAGTTTCTTAATCCTGAGTTCTAATTTGATTGCACTGTGGTCTGAGAGACTGTTTGTTATGATTTCCATTCTTTTGCATTTGCTGAGGAGTGTTTTACTTCCAATTGTGTGGTCAATTTTAGGGTAAGTACAATGTGGTACTGAGAATAATGTATATTCTGTTGATTTGGGGTGGTGAGTTCTATAGATGACTATTAGGTTCATTTGGTCTAGAGCTGATTTCAAGTCCTGGATATCCTAGTTAATTTTCTGTCTCATTTATCTGTCTAATATTGACAGTGGGGTCTTAAAGTCTCCCACTATTATCGTGTGGGAGACTAGGTCTCTTTGTAGGTTGTTAAGAACTTGCTTTATATATCTGTGTGCTCCTGTATTAGGTGCATATATATTTATGCTATTTAGCTCTTCTCGTTGCATTGATCCCTTTACCATTGTGTAATGCCTGCCTCTCTCTCTCTCTTTCTCTCTCTCTCTCCTTTCCATTTGATTTGTAAATATTCCCTTATCCCTTTTTTTGAGCCTATGTGTGTCTTTGAACGTGAGTTCAAAGATGGGTCTCCTGAATACAGCACACTGATAGGTCTTGACTTTTTATCCAGTTTGCCAGTCTGTGTCTTTTAATTAGGGCATTTAACCCATTTACATTTAAGTTTAATATTACTATGTGTGAATGTGATCCTGCCGTTATGATGTTAACTGGTTATTTTGTCTGTTAGTTAATGCAATTTCTTCATAGCATCAATGGTCTTTACAATTTGGTATGTTTTTGCCATGGCTGATGCCAGTTGTATTTTCCATATTTAGTGCTTCCTTCAGGAGCTCTTGTAAGGCAGGTGTGGTGGTGACAAAATCTTTCAGGTTCTGCTTGTCTGTAAAGTATTTTATTTCTCCTTTGCTTATAAAGCTGAGTTTGTTTGGATATGAAATTCTGGGCTGAAAATTCTTTTTTTTAAGAATGTTGAATATTGGTCCCCACTCTATTCTGGCTTATAGGGTTTCTGCCCGAGAGATCCACTGTTAGTCTGATGGGCTTCCCTTTCTGGGTAACCCAACCTTTCTCTCTGGCTGCACTTAGCATTTTTTCCTTCATTTCAACCTTGATGAATCTGATAATTATGTGTCTTGGGGTTTTTGTTTTCGAGGAGTATCTTTGTGGCGTTATCTGTATTTTCTGAATTTGAATGTTGGCTGCCTTGCTAGGTTGGGGAAGTTCTCCTGGATAATATCCTGAAAAATGTTTTTTAACTTAATTTCATTCTCCTCTTCACTTTCAGGTACAGTGATCAAACATAGTTGGTCTTTCATGTAATCCCATATTTCATGGAGGCTTTGTTTGTTTCTTTTCATTCTTTTTTTCTCTAGTCTTGTCTTCTCACTTTATTTCATTGAGCTAATCTTCAATCTCTGATATCCTCTCTTCCACTTAATTGATTTGGCTATTAAAATGTGTGTATGCTTCATGAAGTTCTCATGCTGTGTTTCTCAACTCCATTAGGTCTTTTGTGCTCTTCTCTAAACTGGTTATTCTAGTTAGCCATTCCTATAATCTTTTATCAGTGTTCTTAGCTTCCTTGCATTGGGTAAGAAAGGCTAGCTGATGGATGTGATAAAAAGATGTATATAACAGATAGTTATTTTATTGGTTAACAATCACTCTATATGGTAAAAATATCAGTGAAGTTTATAACATCTCATCTGCAATTAAGTTATTTAGTTATATTTTTTAGCAATTACACAACTTAATTTAGTACTGGTGTTACAGGGTTAGACACACTTGGATAACAGTGACCATTGGTGTGAAATCAAAAGGAGACACTTTTACAAATAAATAACAGAGACATTGAAAGAGCACCCTGCTAAAACCACTGTCATCCAAGGGAGAGTATTTGCATGCCTCAGGAGATGCCCTCAAAGAGCAACATAAGAGACTTTACACTGTAGAGGAAAGAGACTTTAGTAAAATACTTCTATCAAATCACACACATAGACAAACGCATACCCCACCACCACCAACAACAAGCAAACAAAAACAACAAGCTCCCCAAAAGGGAAGAGTCAATCAGCATACAGATTTGCTATAATACATTATCTAAAATGTAGAGATTGTAGCAAAAAAGCTTAAGACATGCACAGCAACAGTACACTGTAACCCAAACACAAGGAAAAAGGCAAGGAAATCTGCTTGGGAGAGTCCTACATGTTAGATTTAGCAGACAATGACTACAAAGTAGTCAGCTAATGATATGGTCAAATAGTTAAAACTTTTCTTAAAAAAAAAATAAGAAGGTATAATGACAATATTTTATCAAACAGATATCAAAATTGTGTTACAAAAAAAGCTGGAGACAACAGATGCTGGAGAGGATGTGGAGAAATAGGAGCACTTTTACACTGTTGGTGGGAGTGTAAATTAATTCAACCATTGCAGAAGACAGTGTGGCAATTCCTCAAGGACCTAAAAATAGAAATTCCATTTGATCCAGCAATCCCATTACTGGGTATATATCTGAAGGATTATAAATCATTCTACTATAAGGACACAGGCACACAAATGTTCATTGTAGCACTGTTTACAATAGCAAAGACCTGGAACCAACCCAAATGCCCATAGATGATAGACTTGACAGGGCAAATGTGGCACATATACACCATGGAATGCTATGCAGCCATAAAAAATGATGAGTTCATATCCTTTGTAGGGACATGGATGAACCTGGAAACCATAATTCTCAGCAAACTGACACAAGAACAGAAAATCAAACACCACATGTTCTCATTCATAGGTGGGTGTTAAACAATGAGAACACATGGACACAGGGAGGGGAGCATCACATACTGGGGTCTGCTGGGGGGAAATAGGGGAGGGACAGTGGGGGGTGGGGAGTTGGGGAGAGATAGCATGGGGAGAAATACCAGATATAGGTGATGGGGAGGAAGGCAGCAACACACTGCCATGTGTGTACCTATGCAACAATCTTGCATGTTCTTCACATGTACCCCAAAATCTAAAATGCAATAAAAAAATTTTTTTTAAGATAACCTAATTAATATTTGGAATTGAAAGGTAAAATAACTGCAATGGAAAATTCATTAAAGGGTCAAGAAAAGATTTGAACTGTCATAAGAAGGAGTAAACAAATTTAACATAATGGGAATATAGTGGGGAGTATTCCAGGTAGAGAGATAATAAGAAAAAATATGTGAAGAAAAATGGCTGAATATTTTGAAAATTATTTACTGGGTAATATTAATCTATATATCCAAGCTCTATTAAATCTAAGTAGAATAAACACAAATCAATTTGTGACCAGACTCATCATTGTAAAAATATTGAAAGACAGAGAAAATGTAAAATGCAGCAAGAGAAAAACAATTCATCACATAGAAGGGAACCTCAGTAAGATAATATCTGACTTAGTATTAGAAACTTACAAAGTCCAGGAGGCAGTGGTGTTGTGTGTTTAAAGTGCTGAAAGAAAAAAAAGCTACCAACCAATAATTTTATTGCTAGCAAAACTATTTTTTAGAAAAGGCAAAATGCAGAAATTGCTAAATAAGTAAAAGTTAGGAGATTTCGTTCACAGCAGAACTGTTTTCCAAGAAATTCTAAAGTTCTTTAGACTAAAATGAATTGACCTCTGACAGTAATTTGAATCCCCCTAAGAAAGGCCTGAGTTAAATATTATAATTGCAAAAGACAGTATGTATAAATGTGTATTCCACCTCCTTTCTTTTCTTAATTTATCTAAAAGACAATTGTAAAAAATATTCATTTAATAATATAATTGGGCATATAACATATCAGCATGTTATATATTCACAATAGCAACACAACGGTGATGGGAGGGAGAAGTGATATACAGTGTAAGAAAATAACACTGGATGATAAATACAGAGCAACAATAAAAAGAACCAGAAAATATAAATAAGTGTGTTCATATAGCAAATACTATAAATATGTACTTGCTCTTCTTTCTTTTCTCAATTTGTTTAAAAGGCAAAAAGTTATACAAAAAAAAAAAATTATAACGATGTGATTACATTGCCCTTAACATTTGCGGGTATAATATGTGTAACAATAGCACAAAAACTGAGGAAAGAAAAAAGCTATATATAAAGGAATAATGTTCCTATATCTCAGTAGAAAGTAATTAATGTAAATGTGAAAAAGATTATAAAGTTGACTGAGGTAATGGTTACTCATTTCTGTGACTATATTAGTAAGCATTGAATTAGACACTTTAAATGGAAAAGTAGTATGGTTTAAACACATACACATTTTTTAAAAGCTCAGGAACTCTAAGCAGGATAAGATTTTATAAATTTTTAAGCAAGAGGATAATAATGTGAGGGAGGAAAATTGTGACTTTTACTAGTTGACAAATTTCTCCAGCACATAACTCTGTATTTCTTGTGTTTAACTCTAAAATGCTCTCCTTATTAACTCCCTGATTATCTAAAAATCCTTTGATTTCTTAGTTCAAATGAATCAGTCTTTCTTACTTATATTTGTAGGAGAAAGACAAAAGAGCTGAAATACACCTGTTAATGTTTTTCAGTTTTCTGTTGCATATAGCTCATTATTTTTACAAAATGTTGTAATTGAATTATTGAAAACTTGTTTGTCCAATATAATGCTTTGTGTGTGTGTGTGTGTGTGTGTGTGTGTGTGTGTGTGTGTGTCAGAGTCTCACTCTGTTGTTCAGGCTAGTGTGCAGTGGCATGATCTTGGCTCACCACAGCCTTCACCTCATGGGTTCAAGTGATTCTCCTGCCTCAGCCTCCCAAGTAGCTGGGACTACAGATGCATGCCACCATGCCTGGCTAATTTTTGCATTTTTAGTAAAGATGGGGTTTCACTATGTTGGCCAGTCTGGTCTCAAACTCCTGAACTCGTGATCCACCTGCCTTGGCCTCCCAAAGTGCTGGGATGACAAGCATGAGCCACTGTGCCTGGCCAGTATGATGCACTTTTACAATGATGCATAATCTGGTTTCTGCCTCTATTTAAATTATATTGGTGGTATATTCTGGCTGCCATGATAATAGTACAGATTTTAACATTAATCATGGTCTTAGCCAACTTTCCAAAGCAAGACTTCTGCTCTACTGTTCAGGATCATTACAGGTGTCTACCTTCAGTTACATGCTCTGGTAGAACCAAGCTTCACACAAAATAACTTTAGTTTCAATAGGTAACCAGGTTTACCAATTCTAATTATCCATTTTTCAATATGAAATTCTTTTTAATATATTTCACTTTAGTTTTTCCACAATTATACCTAGATATTAGTTTCTAAATTCAACAAAATATATAAATCATGTAAAAACTCAAATGAAAAGGATTACAATTCTAATGCTGGTACTACTACAAATGTTTTCTTCTTCCTACCTACAGTCTGCCTGCTAAGAGAACCAGAGAGAAAACTTTTTTTCATTAAATGAGTTGTTATTCTCTTTTATCACTGATGTCTATTTGAACTATAATTAAACCACCTAAAATAGACTATTAAGATATTTCTGGATGAGTCAAAGAACTTAGGTTTTATTACATTTTGTGAGTGATGATGACTATTGTGTACAGATAGATCAACTATGAAAAAATAATTTATGTTCCACCTCACCAGATATACCCCTACAGCATGAATATGTTTTTAATATATACTTAAAAGTTATGTTAGTACCACAAACTATTATGATTTAAGTTTGGATGTGAGATTGCTTTATATGGAAAAATAGTTAAGAAATAAGATAGTATAAGTCTGTGCCTCAATTTTGTTATTACTTGCTATATGGTCGTAGTCAAATAACTAAATACATCTAAACCTCAATATAATGAGGCTTATATGATTGTTAATTGCCCTTTCAATTTAAGTTTCTATGTAGCTGCAATCTGAACACTTTATTATAATTCTTCTACTCTAATGAAAAATACTAATTAGGATTGTATTAGACACACACACACGTTAACATTTTCCTTAGAAAAGTGTTTTGAATTCTGTTTACTTTTATAGAGACTGATGAACGATTGCCTAGTGCAATGGAGAGAGGTACAATAAGTGATGAAATTAAGACACAGTTAAAGAGAAAGAGTTATCCTGGTAAGAATAAGAATTTTTTGAAGCTACTAATGGTTTACTGTCTTCTCTAGAGTTTAAGTATGGATTTATATCTAATGACAACAGTACCTATATGTAGATATTACCCGAGAGAAAAAGTCTTCATGAATTTCCTCCTATAATTAGTTGAACTCTAGCATTTATTCTCAATGAAAAATTAACTTTAGGGCTCATTTATTTTAAAAAGTTATCCATAAAAGACTAATGCTGTAGTGATCTTAGAATATGCTTGAGGAAATTCTATTTCAAATGCTGTTCAATTTGCTTTCTATTTATGGCTAATTAGGAAAGTTGCTTTGAATCTGAAAAAGCAAAATTGCTAGCTTATGAATGTAATAACAAGGTGAATATAGCTGATAATCATTTCATTGGTTACCAATTCCTTCTTATATCGTTATGTTATCAGGCAAATTGACAAGGTTTCCGCTACTTTAGTTTTGTTATATAGTTCAAAAATTATACTACTGCATTTTTACTGGTGAAACAGTGACACATTTCTCCTTAATTTTTGGTGTTATACCCAAAGAGGCAGACAGCTTAACAGGGACATAAGGGAAAGAGACAGACAAAGGGAGCCCCGTTAAAACAACTCTTATCCAAAAGTGATTGTGTGTTGTAATGGTTAATATTGTCGACTCGATTAGATTGAAGGATGCAAAGTATTGATCCTGGTGTGTCTGTGAGGATGCTCCCAAAAGAGATTAACATTAAGTCAGTGGACTAAGAAAGGCAGATTCACCCTTCATTAACCAAGTTTTGTTTCCCGCACAAAACTTGGTGGCCATTTCAGCTGACAACATGGGTTTCCAGCACAAATCTGGGTGGCTGTTTTAGCTGGCGTCTGGAATGCCTGCGAGACAGAGCTGCCCATTTCCCTGAAAAAAGGGGGGCTGAAGGCAGGAAGCCAAGTGATCCTGCTTGGGGGGGTGCCACCCCCACAAAGACCAGCAAACTGAAACCCACTGGCTGGGATTTTCGCAGCCAGTACAGCAGTTTGAGCTCAACCCAGGACAGTGGAGCTTCGTGGAGGGAAGGGCATCTGCCATTACTGAGGCAGTTCGCCATTACTGAGCCAGTTCTAACATACTTGTATAAACAAAATCACAAGGGAGTTTACACAGCAGCTGGACAGAACCTGTGGTAGCTCAGCAACACCTCTGCAGGCAGACTGCAACTAGACTCCCTCCTTGCTGGGCAGGGCATCTCTGAAAAAAGGCAGCAGCCCATCAAGGGATATATAAATAAAGCCCCACCTTCCAGGACAGAGCACCTGGGAAAAGAGGCAGTTGTTTCACTGCAGCAAACTTAAACATTCCTGCACAGCAGCTGTGAAGGGAGCAACAGAGCTCCCAGCACAGCACTTGAGCTCTGATAAGGGACAGACTGCCACCTCAAGTGGCTCCCTGACCCCAGTATAACCAAAGAGACACCTCATACAGGAAAGCACTGACTGACATCTAGTGGGCACCCTTCTGGGACCAAGCTACCAAAGGACACAATAATTACTGTTCTGCAGCCCACACAGGTGATTCCCAGGCAAGAAGTGTCTGAAGTGGACCTGCAGCAGTCCTGCAGCAGAGGGGCCTGACTATTAGAAGGAAAACTTAAAAAAAAGAAATGGCTTCAACATCAACAGAAAGAACAGCCACTCAGAGACCCCCATCCAAAAGTCACCAACTTCAAAGACTAAAGGTAGATAAATCCACAAAGATGGGAAGAAACCAGTGCAAAAAGGCTGAAATCACTGAAAACCAGAAGATCTCCCTTCCTCCAAGGGATCAGAACTCCTCACCAGCAAGGGAACAAAACTGGATGGAGAACAAGTTTGATGAATTGGCAGAAGCGTGCTTCAGAGGTTGGGTAATAACAAACTTCTCTGAGCTAAAGGAACATGTTCTAACCCAATGCAAAGAAACTAAGAACCTTGAAAAAAGGTTAGACGAAATGCTATCAAGAATAACCAGCTTAGAGAACAACATAATCTGTTTACTTTTATAAAGACTGATGAACGATTGCCGAGTGCAACTGAGAGAAGTACAATAAATGATGAAATTAAGACACAGTTAGAGAAAGAGTTATCCTGGTAAGAATAAGAATTTTTAAAAACTACTTATGGTTTACTGTCTTCTCTAGAGTTTAAGTATGGATTTATCTCTAATGACAACAGTACCTATATGTAGATATTACATGAGAGAAAAAGTCTTTATGAATTTCCTCCTATAATTAGTTGAATTTTAGCATTTATTCTCAATGAAAAATTAGCTTTAGGGCTCATTTATTTTAAAAAGTTATCCATAAAGGACTAATGCTGTAGTGATCTTAGAATATGCATGAGGAAATTCTATTTCAAATGCTGTTCAATTTGCTTTCTATTTATGGCTAATTAGGAAAGTTGCTTTGAATTTGAAAAAGCAAAATTGGAAGTAAATCACTCCTCAGCAAATGCAAAAGAACGGAAATCATAACAAACAGTCTCTCAGACCACAGTGCAATCAAAGTAGAACTCAGGATTAAGAAACTCACTCAAAACTGCACAACTACATGGAAACTGAACAACCTGCTCCTGCATGACTACTGGATAAATAGTGAAATGAAGGCAGAAATAAAGATTTTCTTTGAAACCAGTGAGAATAAAAACACAATGTATCAAAATCTCTAGGACACATTTAAAGCAGTGTGTAAGAGGGAAATTTATAGCACAAAACGCCCACATGAGAAGTGAGGAAAGATCTAAAATTGACACCCTATCATCACAATTAAAATAACTAGAGAAGCATGATCAAACAAATTCAAAATCTAGCAGAACACAAGAAATAACTAAGATCAGAGCAGAACCGAAGGAGATAGAGACACAAGAAACCCTTGAAAAAAATCAAAATCCATGAGATTTTTTTTTTAAAAAATCAACAAAATAGTTGGACTGCTAGCAAGACTATTAAAAAAGAAAACAGAAGAATCAAATAGATGCAATAAAAAAATGATAAAGGGGATATCACCACTAATCCTACAGAAGTACAAACTACCATCAGAGATTTCTACAAATACCTCTATGCACATAAAACAGTAAATCTAGAAGAAATGGATAAATTCCTGGACACTTACACCCTCCAAGACTAAACCAGGAAGAACTTGAATCCCTGAATAGACCATTTAACAAGTTCTGAAGTTGAGTGAGCAATTAATAGCCTACCAACCAAAAAAAGTACATGTCCAGACGAATTCTACCAGACTTACAAAGAGGAGCTGGTACCATTCCATCTGAAACTATTCCAAACAATACAAAAAGAGGGAATCCTTTAAACTCATTATATAAGACCAACATCATCCTGATACCAAAACCTGGCAGAGACACAACTAAAAAAGAAAATTTCAGGCCAATATCCATGTTGAACATTGATGGAAAAATCTTCAATAAAACACTAGCAAACTGAATGCAACAGCACATCAAAAAGCTTATCCATCATGATCAAGGAGGCTTCATCCCGGGGTGTAAGGCTGGTTCAACATACACAAATCTATAAACGGAATCCATCACGTAAACAGAACCAAAGATGAGAACCACATGATTATCTCAATAGATGCAGAATAGGCCTTCGACAAAATTCAACAGTCCTTTATGCTGAAAACTCTCAATAAACTAGTATCAATGGAACGTATTTCAAAATAATATCTACTTGTGACAAACCTACAGCCAATATCATACTTAATGGGCAAAGAATGGAAGCATTCTTTATGAAAACTGGCACTAGACACGGGTGCCCTCTCTCACCATTCCTATTCAACATAGTATTGGAAGTTCTAGCCAGAGCAATCAGACAAGAAAAAGAAATAAAGGGCGTTCAATTAGGAAAAGAGGAAGTCAAATTGCCGCTATTTGCAGATAACATGATTGCATATTTAGAAGACCCCATAGTTGCAGCCCAAAATCTCCTTAAGATGATAAGCAACTTCAGCAAAGTTTCAACTCCCATTCACAATTGCTACAAAGAGAATTAAATACCTAGGAACACAACTAACAAGGGACATGAAAGACCTCTTCAGGAAGAACTACAAACCACTGCTCAAAGAAATAAGAAAGGACACAAACAGATGGAAAAATATTTAATGTTCATGGTTAGGAAGAAACAATATGGTGAAAATGGCCATACTGACCAAAGCAATTTACAGATTCAATGCTATCCCCAACAAACTACTATTGACCTTCTTCACAGAACTGAAAAAAAACCACCTTAAACTTCATATGAAACCAAAAAAGGCCCGCATAGCCAAGACAATCCTAAACAAAAAGAACAAGGCTGTAGGCATCGCACTACCTGACTTCAAACTATACAAAGGTACAGTAATCAAAACAACATAGTACTGGTGTCAAAACAGAGATATAGACCAATGGAACAGAACAGAGGCCTTGGCAGTAACACCACAGATCTACAGCCATCTGATCTTTCACAAACCAGACAAAAACAAGCAATGGGAAAGGGATTCCCTGTTTAATAAATGGTGTTAGGAAACTGGCTAGACATATGCAGAAAGCTGAAACTGTATATCTTTGTTAAACCTTATAAAAGCAGCAGAAGCCACAATAGACAAATGGAATCTAATTAAACTTAAGAGCTTCTGCACAGCAAAAGAAACAATCATTAGAGTGAACTGGTGACCAGTAGAATGGGAAAAAAAAATCTGTAAGCTACTCATCTGACAAAGGGTTAATACCAGAATCTACAAAGAACTAAAACAAATATACAAGAAAAAAGCAAACAACTCCATCAAAAAATATGTGAAAGATATTAACAGACACTTTTCAAAAGAAGACATTTATACATTCAACAAACATGAAAATTGCTCATCATCACTGGTCATTTGAGAAATGCAAATCAAAACCACAGTGAGATACCATCTCATGCCAGTTCGAATGATGATCATTAAAAAATCGGAAGAAAACAGATGCTGGAGAGGATGTGGAGAAATAGGAATGCTTTTACACTGTTGGTGGGAGTGTAAATTAGTTCAACCATTGCAGAAGACAGTGTGGTGATTGGGACCTAGAAATAGAAATACGATTTGACCCAGGAATCCCATTACTGGGTATATACCCAAAGGATTATAAACCATTCTGTTATAAAGACACATGCACACGTATGTTCACTGTGGTACTGTTTACAATAGCAAAGACTTGGAACCAACCCAAATGCCTATCAAAAATAGACTGGATAGACATGGTGGCACATATACACCATGGAATACTATGTAACCATTAAAAAGGATGAAAACATCACACACTGGGGTGTGTTTGGGGTGGGGGCTAGGGGAAGGATAGCAGGGGGTGGGTTGTTGGGGAGGGATAACATTAGGAGAAATACCTAATGTAGGTGATGAGGGGATGGAGGCAGCAAACAACCATGGCCTGTGTATACCTAAGTTAACAATCCTGCAGAATCTGCACATGTACCCCAGACTTAAATTATAATAAAACAATTGATTAATTAATTAATTAAAAATAACATTGAGAGACAAAGTGAAAACCTTGAAATGGCAAGAGAACAACTACAGTCATGTGTTGCCTAATGTGTCCTGAGAAATGTGCATTAGGCAACTTCATCATCATGCAAACATCGTAGAGTATACTTACAGAAACCTAGGTGCTATAGCTTTCTACACATGTAGGCCATTTTGTATAGCTTATTGCTCCTAGGCTATGAACTTGTATAGCATGCTACTGGACTGCATTCCACAGGCAATGATAATACAAGAATAAGCAATTCTGTATCTAAACATAGAAAAGGTACAGTAAAAATACTTTATAAAATATTAAAAATGGCAACCCTGTATATAGCACTTGCCATGACTAGAGCTTGTAAAACTGAGTGTTGCTTTGGGTGAGTCAGTGAGTGAACAGTGAGTGAATGCAAAGGTCTAGGGAATTATTGTACACTACAGTAGACTTTGTAAATGCCATAAGTACACTTAGGCTACATGAATGTCTTTTTAAAAATCTCTTCTTAAAAATAACCTTGGCTTACTGTAACTTTTTAACTTTATAAACTTTTTTATTTTTATTTTTTTGGTTTGGAGTTTTATAATAACATTTAACTTAAAACACAAACATTGTACAGTTGTACAAAAACATTTTCTGTATTCTTATTCAATAAGCTGCTTTCTGTTTAAATTTTTTTTTAATTTTAAAACATTTTTGTTAAAAACTGAGACACAAGCACACACGTTAGCCTAGACCTACACAGAATCAGGATCATCAGTATCATCACTGTCTTCCACCTCCACATCTTGCCCCAGTGGAAAGCCTTCAGAGGAAATAACACACATGAAGCTTTCATCTCCTGTGATAACAATGCCTTCTTCTGGAATACGTGCTGACGGACCTGTCTGAGGCTGTTTTACAGTTAACATTTTTTGTAAGTAGAAGTATACACACTCAAATTAAACAAAAAAGTATAGAAAATATATAAACCAGTAACATAGCTTTTTGTTCTTATCATTGTGTTATGTACTATACATATTTCTATGTGCTATATTTTTATATATTTGGCAGCAGAGTAGGTTTGTTTACACCAGCATCATCACAGGCATGTGAGTAATTTATTGCATTAAGATATTACAATGGCTACAACATCACTAAGTGATAGAAATTTCTAGCTCCATTACAATTTTATGGAATCACCTTTTTATGTGTGGTTCAAATATCATTTTGTATAGTTACATGACTGCAACCATACAAAAGTTAATTCTAGTAAGATTAATAGGTGGCATAGCATCAGAAACTCTGCAGACCAAGACAGGGCACAGTGGCTCAAGCTTGTAATCCCAGCACTTTGGGAGGCCACAGCAGGTGGATGACTTGAGGTCAGCAGTTCAAGACCAGCCTGGCCAACATGGTGAAACCTACCAAAATACAAAATTAGCTGGGCATGGTGGTGTGGGCCTGTAATCCCAGCTACTCGGGAGGCTGAGGCAGGAGAATCACTTGAACACAGGAGGTGGAGGTTGCAGTGAACCGAGATTGTGCCACTGCACGCAACAGAGTGAGGCTCTGTCTTAGGAAGAGACACACACACACACACAAAATAACAACACCACCAAAAAACAAACTATAGAGGCCAAAAGGCAGTGGGATGGCATTTTCAAAGGGCTGAAAGAAAAAAATATAAACCAATAATCTTATGTTTGGCAAAATTATTTTTAAAAGTAAAACTCAAATAAAAAGAATCTGAAATAAATAAAACTTTACAGAATTATTTGATATCGGGCCATGTTATTAAAAAAAAAATTAAGAAAGTTCCTCAGGCTGAAAACAAGTTTCCTCACATTGTAATTTTTTCAACAAAATCATTAGTGAAATAATTATATTACATAATATATAAATGCATTTTTTTCTTCTCTTCATTGATTTAAAATGTAATTGTGTGGTAACATATATAGATATATAAAATTGATCTGTAACTGTATTTTGGGACCTATCACATGATAGACATGTAACAGACATGCAACATATTTGACAATAGCACAAAGGAAATCAGTGGGAGCAATAGGATGCTGGAGTAAGAACATGACAACAGATGGTAGCTCAAATCCACAGGAAATAATAAAAAGAACCAGAAATTATAAACAAGAATGTTCATATAACAAACATTATAAATATGTACTTGTTCTTCTTTCTTTTCTCAGTTCTTTAAAGGCATAAAGTTATATAGAGAAATAACTGTAACAGTGTATTTTGATATTTATAGATATAACAACAGTACAAGTGTCAGGAAGAGGAAATAGAAAATATAGCAGTAATGCTTGTATAGCTTACTGGAAATTCATTAGAATAAATCTGAAGTAGATTCTAAAAATGACTGTGGTGATGGTTTAACAACTCTGTAAATATATTAAACACTCTTGAATTAGATGATTTTACAAGAGCAAATTGTATGATATATTACACTTAAAAAAAAAAAGAAAGCTTAATAAAATCCATGTGTAACAGTTTTAAAAAGAGGTGTAAAGTACTGGGAGGGTGTTATGAAGGAGGAAAATTGTGGCCCTTACTAAAATATGTTTCTCTGGCACATATTTTTGTATTCTTAGTACTTAAACCTATCTGTCCTCAAATATTCATTACTTATCCAAGAAACTTTTGCTTGTCTAATTCAAATGAATCAGCACTCCTTGCTTATACCAGTTAGGGAAATAACTAAAGAGGTTAAAATATGTCTGCTAATATTCCCCAGGATTTTGTTGTTGTTGCTATAGGTCGTCATTTCCACAAACTATTTTAATTACTTGTTCTCTCGATCTGATGCATCTTTTCATTGTGGAGATGATGCCCTAAATTGTTCCTACTTCTACACAGATTGTAATCCTGGTTCATATGGGATGTAAAGGTCATTGTGTAGCCTTAAAATTTATTCATGGTAAATTTTATTTTACCATTTCGCCAGACAAAAACTAAATTTATGATATCTGGGTCATTGCAGTTTTCACACTACAGTCACATGCTCTGCTAAGACCCAATTTCACCTACAAAACTTGAAGTCCACTAGATGACCCAGCTTCATCAATCCAGATTATTCCATTTTTAATATGAATTTTCTTTATTAATTAATTTTTATTTTATTTTGCCTTCATTGACCCTAGTAGTAGTTTCAAAACCAAGCAAAAAGTTCAAATCATATTAAAACCCAAAAAAGGATCCAATATCAATGTTGATACGAATGCAAATCTACCTATTTCTTCCTCTCCGTCTACAAAGTCGACATTCTAAATGGACCTGAGAGGGCATTTATACCAGTCCATGATAATCACTGCTGTCATGTAATTTATAGTTACATGACATAAAAAGGGGCTAACATATTCTTAGAAGAATCAGATAATTTCTCCCTGATGGTAACTTTCTGTGACTATAAAGACCACAGTTTACAAGTTGACTTGTGAATAAAATTTTATTTCACCTCACCAGGTATACAGTATGAATATGCTTAAAAATTATATTTGTATCATAAACTCTCTAGGATAATTTCAGTTTGCAGAAGAGGCAGCATTGTATGGAAAAAAAGCACTGGTTAAAGAATAATGAACATCTACTTCTGTATAAGTTTTATAGTTAACTATGTATCTGATTTTGTTCAAATCGCTAAACTTCTCTAGGCTTATATAATCGCTATGACTGCTTCCAATTCTAAGGCTTTGTGATTCTGTAGTCCAGATCTTTTTTTAACTAATTCATCTTCTTTAATAACTGATGCTAATTAAGTTATTACTATTTATACATACAAATATAACATATACACAGACATAGACATATGTTACAATTTACCTCTCAAAGCATTTTGATAATCTGTTTTATTTTTATAGAGGCTGTCCTAAAACGCTTGAAAGACATTAATGGAAAAGATATCATAAAGCAGCTAATGAACATACAATTAAAGAGTCATGCAGGTAAGAACAAGAATTTTTCGTCTCCTGTTAATGGCTTATTTAGCTTCTCTGAAGTTAAATTAAATATGGATCTTTGATGACAACTGTAGCTGTAAGTTATTATTACATGAGAAAATGTCTTCCTGAATTTCCTCCTATAATTTGTGGAACTCTAGTATTTGCTATCAGTGGAGCATTAGTTAGATATGATTAGTTTTAGAACTCATCCATTGGTTAAGTAATTCATAAAAACACAAGGCTGTTGTGAACTAAATATGTGCTTGATGCTATTATTTCAAATGCTATACTTTAATTCAGTGGTGAGTTCAGGTCCTGAATATCTCTGATACAATTTTCTGTATCAATTATTTGTCTAATATTATCAGTGGGGTGTTAAAGTCTCCCACTATTATTGTGTCAAAGTCTAAGTCTCTTTGAAGGTCTCTAAAAACTAGCTTTATGAATCTGGGTGTTCTTGTGTTAGATGTTTATATATTTGGGATAGTTAGATCTTCTTGTCGAATTGAACCTTTATCATTATATAATGCAGCACTATTCACAATAGCAAAGATGTGAAATCAACCCAAATGCCCTTCAGTAATAGACTAGATAAAGAAAATTTGGTACATATACACCATGGAATACTATACAGCCATAAAAAAGAAACAAGACTATGTTCTTTGCAGGGACATGGATGGAGCTGGAGGCCATTATCCTTAGCAAACTAACACAGGAACTGTAAACCAAATACTTCATGTTCTCACTTATAAATGGGAGCTAAATGATGAAAACACATGGGCATGTAGGGGGGAACAACACACACTGGGGCCTTTTGGAGAGTGGAGGATGGAGGAAGGACAAGGTCAGAAAAAATAACTAATGAGTACTAGGCTTAATACTTGGGTGATGAAATAATCTGTGCAAAAAAAACCCATGACACAAGTTTACCTATGTAACAAACTTGCACTTGTACCCCTGAACTTAAAATGAAAGTTGAAAAAAATGGAAACAAATGCTGTTCTTATCATTTTATATTTCTGGCTTAGACAGGAAAGTTGCCTTAAATTTGTAAAAGCACACAGACTAACTTATGAATGTGATAGTCCTTTTACTGGCTACCTATTCTCTGTATTTGATAAAAATGTAAGGTAAAATTATAATATCTCAGCTACAGTAAAGTTATTTAGTTGTGTTACACCGTTCAGTGATTACAACACAGCTAAATTTAGTTCTGGAATAACAGTGTTAGGCATCTTTTTCCTTGATCTTTGGTGACATACTGAAAGAGGCAGGGAGCTTAGTAGAGAAATATGGGAGAGAGGCAGTTAAAGAGAGCCTAACTAACACAGGAATAGTAAACCAAATCACTATCATTCAAAGGTGGCAGTGTGCATGCCAAAAGCAGTGATCCCAGAGGAACAATATTGGAAGCTTCTTGTTGTGGAGAAAGATACTATAGTAAAATACTCAAAAAAATCACTAAAAAGCAAACAGCAAGCTTTGAAATATAATGAGTAAATCAATATCTAGATTTTTCTATATCTTTGAAAACATCCAGTTTTTATTTTAAAATTCATATAGAACAACAAACAAACAAACAAACAAACAAAAGAGCCTGAATACCCAAAGCAATCATAAGCAAAAAGAACAAACCTTGTGGTATCACATTACTTGACTTCAAACTATGCTATAAGGCTATAGTAACCAAAACAATATGATACTAAAACAGACATGTAGACCAATGGAAAAGAAAAGAGAACCCAGAGAGCCACACACCTACAGCTATCTGATCTTTGACAGCCAACAAAAATAAGCAGTGGGGAAACGATTCCCTATGCAATAAATGGTACTGAGATAGCTGGCTAGCCATGTGCGGATAAAACTGGACCCCTACCTTTTATCATATACAAAAAGTAACTCGGGATCGATTACAAATTTAAATGTAAGACTTTAAACTATAAGAATCCTAGAAGAAAACTTAGGAAACACCATTCTGGGCATTGGCCTTGGGAAATAATTTATGACTAAGACCTCAAAAGCAAGTTGAATGAAACCAAAAATTGACAAGTGGGACCTAATTAAATGAAAGAGCTTCTACACAGCAAAAGAAACTACTAACAGAGTAAACAGACATAATGGGAGAAAATGTTCACAAACTATGGATTTGACAAAAGCCTATATCCAGAATCTGTAAGGAACATAAACATCTCAACAAGCAAAAAACAATCCCATCATAACGTGAACAAAAGACATGAGCAGACACTTCTCAAAAGAAGATATACAAGCTACAAACAAACATATGAAAAAATGTTTCCCCCAAAACCTAAAATGCAATAAAATAAATTAAAAAAAAAAGAAAAATATTCCATATCACTAATCATCAGAGAAATGCAAATCAAAACCACAGTGAGATACCATCTCACACCAGTAAGAATGACTGTTTCTTAAAAATCAAAAAACAACAGATGCTGGAAAGGCTGTGAAGAAAAGGGAACACTTATACACTATTGGTGGGAATGTACATTAGGTCAGCCACTGTGGAAAGTAGTGTGGAGATTTCCCAAAGAGCTTAGAACTACTATCCTATCCAGCAATCCCATTACTGGATATGTATCCAAAAGAACACAAATGATTCTGCCAAAAAGACACATGCACTTATATGTTCATTGCAACACTGTTCACAATCACAAAGACATGGAATCAACCTAAGTGCTCATCAGTGGGGGACTGGATAAAGAAAATATATCATGAAATACTATGTGGCCATAAAAAAGGGTAAAATCTCCTTTGCAGCAACATGGATGCAGCCAGAGGCCAATAACCTATGCAAATTAACCTGGGGACAGTAAACCAAATATAGTGTGTCCTCACTTATAAGTGGGTGCTAAGCATTGGGTAGATATGGACACTGAGATGATAACAATAGACACCAACGACTACTGGTAGAGAGGTGGGGCGGGGGGGCAGGAGGTGAAAAACTACCTATTGGGTACTATGCTCATTACCTTGGTGATAGGATTGATTATTCATACACCGAGCCTCATCAGCATGCCGTATGCCCAGGTAACAAGCCTGCACATGTACCCCCTGAATCAAAAAATGTTGAAATTTTAATATAAATACATTATAAATAAATAAAAATAAAATGTCCAGTTTTTAGTTTAAAACTATGAGCCATTCAAAGAAACAGTAAACACAGGGGGAAGAAAAGTAAGCAACAAGAAATCTGTGGGAGACCAGGATGTTAGACTTAGCAAAGACTACACGGCAGTTATTATAAATAGGCTCAGATAATTCGAGGAAACCATAATTAAAGCATAAAAGTGGGTATGGTGACAATGTGTGTATTTGCTGCCCAGACTGCCAGAACAAAATACTGCACTGGGTGCCTTAAACATCAGAAATTGGTTTTCTCACAGTTCTGAAGGCAAAAAGTCCAAAATCAAAGTGCTGCCAAGGTTGATTTCTGGTGTTTCCTCTGCTCCTGACTGGCAGACAGCTGCCGACTTACCAGGCCTCTTCTCTGTGAGTGGGGATGGATAGAGAGAAGGCACACATGAGAGAGAGCACTCTCAGGTGTCTCTCCCTCTTCTTATAAGGACACAGTACCATTGGAAAAGGGCCCCCACCCTTTGACTTCAGTTCCACTTAATTACCTCCTTAAAGTCTCTGTCTCCAAATATATTTGCATTGGAGGTGAAAGCTTCAAATAAGAATTATGAGGAGACACAATTCAGTTCATAATCATGTCTTATCGATTAGAGAATATCAACAAAGAGGAATTAATTTCAAAGGGAATAAATGGGAATTCTAGACTTGAATAGTACAATAATTTCAAAGAAAACTTCACTAGACTGTGTAAATAGTAGATTTGAACTCTCAGGAAAAGGAATCATGCCAGGCACGGTGGCTCATGCCTATAATCTCAGCACCTGGGAGGCTGAGGTGGGTGGATCTCCTGAGGTCACGAGTTCAAAAATAGCCTGACTAACATCGTGAAACCCTGTCCCTACTAAAACTACAAAAATTAGCCTGATGTGGTAGCATGGCCCGTGTCTGTAGCTACTTGGGAGGCTGAGGCAGGAGAATCACCTGAACCCAGGAGGCGGAGGTTACAGTGAACCAAGATCACACCACTGCACTCCAGCCTGGGCAACAGAGGGAGACTCCATCTCAAAAAAATAGAAAATAAAAAAACAAAAACAAAAGCAAAACCTACATACACAAACAAAAACAAAAGATAAAAGAATTAGAACAAATACAATAATAGAAACACTAGAAGGTGAACAGAGAGAAAAGAGCAAAAAGAATATTTGAAAAAGCAATAACTGAAAATATTTAATGTATGAAAATCTACACATTTAAACTTAGTGAAACCCAACCATATTAAACACAAAGAAATCCACACAGAGACCCATTTTATTAAAAAATTTTAAGGAGAAAGTCTTTAAAACAGGAAGAGAAATACAAATCATCATGTAAAAGGGGAACCCAATGATATTAACATTAATTTAGCATCAGAAACTATGAAGTCCAGAAGTTATGGGATGGCGTATTCAAAGTGTTGAAAGAAAGAAACAGTCAATTAAGGATCTTATATTGAACAAAACTAACTTTTTAAAATTATGGTAAAATAAAGATAGTCCTAAAAATTCTGAGATTTGTTGCTAGGTAACCTGCTTTATAAAAATACTAAAAATGGTCTTCTGAATGAAATTAAGTGATCCCACACATTAATTAGAACCCATGCAGAGAGAGAGAGAACTTGGCAGGACTTGTTACCCCAGGCTCTAGAATCCTGGGAAAGAGCTACCATGCAGCCTATGCCTGGTCAACTGGAGGACCATCCTAGGGGAAAGGGGACAATCTGAGCCTCTGGCCTGCCATGCCCACAAGCATAACAATTGCTTTTGTGTAATGTGCGGACATAGTATTTGATTCATTTCAACCAGGCATTTGCATCTTGATATACTGTCTCAATTGCCAAAGATTGTTTTAAGTCTTTACCTTTTACAGTAGCT